TTCCACATGATGATCAACTAGTACTATCTATTTGTCAAGGCTATAGACCTAAAATCGAATGTACAGTTCCTCAACTACTTTTGGATTTAATGAATAAGTGTTTAGATGCTGAACCTCAAAACCGACCAACTGCTGAAATATTAAGTGATTTGCTGGAACAATGTTGTAAAGATTTGAAAAGTAAAGAAATGAATTACACAGACAAGTCGAAGAAATTAAAAATTTAGCTAATAATTACTCAACATATGATCAAGTCAAATCGACACAACACAATTATCATATATACAAGTAAGATATTTGTACAAGTCGATTTTTGAAATTCCAAAAACATCCTAAACCGGTAAATGCAGGTAAACCTCTATTATTATTATTTCTTAAAACATTGGTCTTAAAATTTACATAGTGATCTCAAAATAAAGATCAAATTTATCAAGACTTTTTGAACAATTTGTTGTATATGTTTTAATTAGTATCTTTATATTGAGTATATACTTTATCGAGACCATAATATATTTATAACCTATTTCCATTATTGCTTTAGTGGCGTCGTTGACAGGGAACCATTTTGAAGATTATCGGAAGACCACCGGAAGCAAAATTAATAGTACCAATGAGACTTTACAAATTTCCCAAATTTAATAGCGAAAATAGAAGATAAATTTGATAGTCTCATTGGATATTTTACAAATTCCCAAAGCTTATCAGCGGAATAGTATCATCTTATGTTCCTATAGTTGCTGTGGTGAAAATTTTGGTCAGAGAAATTTGTAAAGTATATATGAATATGGAGTGTAACAAAGAGTTATGTTATATCATGACGGGTCGAGTAAAAATAGAGAATCTGAACTGGATCAAATGATGATGAAGGCTGAAGAAAATGAAGAATGTTCTATATTCCTCAAAAAATTTGTAAAAGTTTTAACAGATATTAAAAATTTTGTAGAGAAAGGATCAAAATTTAGAAGTATTAGAGCATTTTTTATGCCAATAAAATTAAGCAAATATATGATAAATTAACTCAAGATTTTGATACAGTCGTCCCTCGTTAATATCAACCCCTCGTTAATATCAACCTTTTATTAAGAACAATATGCCTAAGCGATATAAAAACTATCCCTTTGTTATCAACCCTCGCATATATCAACCAAATTACCCGGGCCCAATAGGTTGATATTAACAAGGGACGACTGTACTTGTATGGAAGACTTACATTTAACTCGAGCAATTGCTAATGGAATCCAAAGAGCTAAGATGCTCAAAAAGTCGATCAGCTTTTGAAGGTATGAAATACCATATTATTCTTAAGACAATTTTTAATATGTTAATTGGAATTTTTTCATATTCTAATTTTTAGGATTTCGAAAAACTCAACTTTGGCATAGGGCATGGATAATAAACTCGATAGATTAGAAAAAAAAAAATCTCTTATACTGCATAAAATGGATATACGACCAGGTGATGTTCATGCAAAAAAGAATCAATGAAAATGAACTGATAAACATATAACTGGACGCCTTGGTAATGGAGCAGTCATTAAGAAGTATTATAATGGAATTGAAGTTGCGTGTAAACCTGTCAAAGATTCTAATTAAAAACAAGGCGAGTTGGCAATCCTTGGACAATTAGGTCTATCACCAAATTTCTTTATTCTTAGTTTATTTATTTATTTATTATTTGACAATTAGGTTTGGAATAAGTGGTAAGAGAGAAAGACTTACATCCGGAAAGTTTGAAAGTACAAATAATGCAAAAATTCGGAAAAAATTTATGAGATCATTATATTAATTTTGATTTAACTACTAAACAGCATGGCAGCATCAACCAACAAAACGAATGGACCTTATGCAACTACATAGCGAACTTGAAAATTGCCATAGAAAATCCAATTTCTCATTTGCACCAATGCTTTTAGTAAATAACAGTTTGGATTTTGGCACTACCTAACGACTGAAAATTTTGACAATTTCTCATTATGCGCCACTGCTTATAGAATATAACAGTTTGTATTTTGGCACCGCAAGTGACTTAACGACTGAAAATTTAAAGTTGCCAAAATTTGAAAACGATCTAAAATTTGAAGATAATCCATCTATAAATTCTTTAATGTCCGTTGATGAAGGAATTGAGTTTCATCGTAATGAATATTACGAAAGTGCGTGGAAGTGTTTTGAAAAAATTCAAAACTTTGTAATCCATTAGCACAATATTGGAAAGCATATTACCTATATAATGGATATTTTGTCGAACAATATAAAGAACGTGCAAACCTAAGCAAGTTGCTGATATTGTGTCGGATAGGCAATTTTGTTGGGGAAGTGACTTGTCGGGAAAATAATTGTGTCGGGGAGAAGATAGTGTCAGGAAATTAGTGTGTTGGGTGTCGGAAGAAATAATTGTCAGGGAAAATAATTGGCGGAGAAATAAAATGATTGTCGAGGAAGTGTCTATCGGGGAAGTGATTTTGTCGGGGAAGGGAAGTGATTGTCAGGAAAATGATATGGACCCATTGTAATTGTATTAGTGATTTAGATAGGATTATATTAGCTTTGTACTGGACCCATTGTACTATTGTAGTAGCATGAATAAAGATATGATTATGTTAGCTTTGTGTTGGACTTATCGTAATTGTAGTGTTTTGCTATAAAGTTCGGTTACTGATCTTACTAATCATTGTGGGCAAAGGCAATTTAGATAGTTTTATGTTAGGTTTGTAATGGGTTTATTATGATTTGTATAGTGATTTGCTGCAAAAATATCAGCTATTATGCTTATATGCTTACTAACTATTGTGGTTGTATAAGTAATTAGATAGATATATCGTGATTTGTATAGTGTTACTTACCAACTATTGTGTTTGTGCAAGTGATTTAATAAGAGTACATTAATTGTAATGGACTTATCATGATTTGTGTAGTATTTTGTTGTAAAAAGTTCAGTTACTGTACTTACTCGCTATGGCGATATACGTAATTAAATAAGGTTAAGTTGGAATAGTGATTTGCTATAAAAAGTCCAGTTACTGTATTTACAAACTTTTGTAGTAAATGATTTAGATAGGGTTATGTTAGTTTTGAATTGAAGTGATTTTCATAGTATAGTAATCGGCTGTAAAAAAATTCAATTACTATATTAATTGACTATTGTGGTGGCATCAGTGATTTGGGTAGAAATATGTTAATTTTGTATTTGAATAATCAAGATTGGTATAGAGATTTGCTGTAAAAAAAATTTGATTATTATACTTACCAATTATTGCGCTGGCATTGGTTGGTTTTTTTTTATTGAATTTCTTATGATTTGTATAACAATTTCTGTAAAACTTCTAACTATTGTAATAATTTAAGTAATTTAGATAGGAACACGTTAGTTTTGTATTGGATTAATAGTGATTGATATAGAGGTTTGCAATAAAAAATTTGATTACTGTACTTGTGTTGGTATTAGTTTTGTATTGGATTTATCATTTTAGTAGAAATTTGCAATCATTGTGGTATAAGTGATTTGGATACACATCGATCCTAAAAAATGTGACTTTAAGGTGACAGTATCTCCCAAAATGGATTATCATGTAAAAATTTATATATTATGAATGTATGTATTTTGTAAAATTTACTGGCGCAATTCTACTACATCATTAATTAGAACATCAGTAGCAGCGTAAGATACTACACCATAAGCTAAACCTGTGCCATTTTATTTTTATAAATTCTTCATTTTGTAAATATTATGAATGAATATGAATTTTACCTAAATCATCGGAATATCTAAGCAATTCTAATTTATTATTCCAACTAAGTTTACTACCCTTAAATTTACTTACAATTCATATAATTATTAAACCTTGCAATTATAATGCGCTAAAAAAAAGTCAGTTATTTCACTGTTTGGGACTAGCCAACCCGAACTTGCTATTGTAGTAAATTGCATATCACATCATTAGAACTTCATCTATATCCTCTGGTACAGGCTTTAAGTTGTAGAAGTATTGGTCATCAGGTAAAGCCAACCAATCTCGCACTCTCTTAGAATTACCAACCGGAATAGATGAATATATTTTTTTCCGTAACTTTTCTTGATCAATAAACTCAGTTCGAATTGTCATGAAGAAGTTAAAAATTTTTGTATAGTACGTAATTGTATCAAATGAGAATGGGATCAAACAAGAAGCCATTTCAACGGCCAAGAACTTCTTTTGGCTTATGAGAGATATAGAAAATAGTGTAAGACGGTCACCAATAATTTGAATGCTATAGGTCTTTATTCCTTTAGCATCATCAACACTACAGTCAAGATTATTGCCAAATATTCGGCAAAGATTACAGACAGACATCATTAGCAACTTTTTGATGTCACCAACTGTATGTGTTTGTGTGGCTTTAAGTGGAGGACCCGAAACCTCAGTATTCATTATCTCTATTCCATCTGCTAAATGAATGACAAGTAAATCCGTTTTTCTTGGGCCGATATTATCTAGAAACATATTGTTTGTCTCATTTATTGATGTAACATGTTTCTCAATCCAATCATATTTAATGTCTGGGAACGCATTTCGAAATGCTCTAAAAATAGGTGATATACATTCAACAATAAAGGTTCGCTCAGACATATTACGATCTAGAACCCTTGGCAATCTATACTTAAAGTTTGCAGCGAAATCTACGACAAAAAAAATGGACTAAACTAGACACTAAAGAATAACTAACATGTTAGTACAAGAACTAAACTAAACAAACTGAATATATATATGGGTACCCGCGATGAACAAGAGCGACTCCA